GGGGCTGGAGCCGGGGGCTGGCGCGGGCTCCGCTGGCTCCAGGGAAGTACTCCACTCCCCCACATCAGGGCCATGGAGTGGAGCACTTCCTCAGAGCCGGCAGAGCCCGGGCCAGCCACCCACCCCAGCCTCCATCCCTGCCTTGCCTCACCTTGGGGAGGAGCCACTGCCTGCCCCAGTGAGGCTCCTCCGGCTCCAGGACATTGCGGGACACGTCCCTCAAGGCCACGTGGGGGAGCGGAGCAGCACTTCCCCAGAGCCGGCAGAGCCCATGCCAGCCCCTGGCTCCCAGCCTCTCCTGGTGCATGGCCTTAAAAAAGCTGTGCACGGCCATACTTTTAGTTGTGCATGGCTGCGCATGCGTGCACCTTACAAGGAATCTTGGTGGCAGCGGTGGTGGCAGATGGGCCATGGCAGTGGGGTAGAGGGTGAGTGGCTGGCAGCGGGAGGAGGTGAGGGCACTGCAGCCCCCACTCCAGCCATTATTTCTCATGTTGCTGGCAGCGTGGCTGGCGCGAGGGTCCCAGCAGTGGCAGCAGCAACAAGTTTCTCTGCACCACTTTGTCCTCCTGCACTGGGTCCTGCCTGCTGGGCTGTGGAGGCAGCTCCTGACTGTGCCAGTCCAGACAGGATACAGACCTGTGCCCACTGGGGGCACACAAATCTGGCAGGGCATGTGCCTCCCCTGTCTCCCCTGATGCATCATCTATGCCCCCCTCCCCACGCCCCATAGACTTACCTGCAGGGAACTGCAGGAGCTGCTCTCCACACTGCCTGGTTGCCACGTACATGTTTGCACATGCACATGGATGTGGCGCCCCCTACCTGATCACCCTCCCCCCATTCCCCCCAGCCCCAAGCAGCCCCTTGCAGGCTGCAACTCTGCCAGCCTGCAAGGGGAAACCCACCATTTCCTGCATTTTTCTCCTTTAAAGGAGAATCCATTTTTAAAGTTTGTCTTTCATACCCTTTCATATATTCTTGTAACCCACTTTTGGGTTGTGACCCATGAGTTGAGAAACGCTCGTCTGACTGTCAGGCACTTTGGCAAAACTGCAGGGGTCTCAGGAGAGCGGAAGTCCATTTGCCACAAGGTAATGGCCTTCTCTAGAAAGGACAATTTAAAGGAAAACCTAAGCTCTCTATTAATTGTTTAAAGAATGCAGATGATTAGATACTAAAATAGTGAGTGTGATATACCAAATTAGACTGGTATAGCACCCAGACAGACACAGACATAGAATGGTAATTGCATTCTAAAAAAATAAGTACAGTACCTCATAAATAGAATAGCCAATTGTTAGCATTTCAGCACCTATTTTTTTGAGTTTACGCCGATCCTTTTGCATCAGAGCCACTAAAAATGTGCATTCATCTTGCCCATCATCTTTCTCTGTCAAACATAGCTTGATCTGTGGATTTGTCCAAAAGGTCTCTGCCAATGGAAAGAATACCAGATTTTTTTCCCCTCAAAAAACCAAACTAAAGGAAAACCCAAAAAACAGAACCAAAAAAGGACAATGGAAATTACATTGAGGTTTGGGTCATCTTCCCTCCACCCTCAACCCCAGCATTTTCAGTCCCACATTACAATTATCTCATTACAACTCTGCTGAAACTCAAACAAATCCTGAACTGCTTACTGAGGTTTGGTATACATAAGAACATATTTCAGACCTAATATTAAATTAAATGGCAATGGCTTAAATAAGAGATAAAAGTTAGAGGATGTTTGGGGTTTTGTTGAAAACAAATGAGGTTTTATGAAAATACAAACGGCCAACTCTTGGCGTGCTAATATGACTGGATGTTCTCTCCCTTGTACTCTCTGCTGTAATTTTATTGATCTTACTGGAATTATTACTGATTTATGCAGGAAGAATCAGACCCAGTAAACTTAAAGGTAAAGAAAAAAGTATTTTTTGCCCTGAAAATCTCAAGCAGAACGTTAAGGACATTCTGATATTTGGTTGGGTTAAGTTAGTTGAGATTCTGTCAGCCTTGTTCTTTGCACACTTGTGGCTGGAGTAAGGGAGAAATAAAGAACTCTTTGTCTGTAATGGATGCTTCCATAGGAGTATGACACTTCCCAGAGAAATAGATGTTCACCTAGAAAATTTCTGCATCCTCCAGCAGTAGAACCCCGGACCCAGCTCCCTTGGTGAACTGTCACCTCCCACTTCTGGGCAGCATTGCCCTCAAGTGCATCAGGTGTGAGGTTGCAGATCTCCACTTTATCAAAATGCCTTTTAAAGTCTTCAAATTTCATCCTAAATGAAATACCGGAGAAAGAACTCAGTGTTTTGCACTAGTGACACACCACCAGCATCAGCCTGGTAAAAATGTACTCCCATAAGCTAATTCTGATCTCAGAGCATCAGAACACAGAGGTAGACCACCAGTTAGTGTACATCAGAGCACCACCACCGGCTATACACTGAGCTATGCTGATATACACTTTATACAGCTGTCCAGGACCTGTCTCGGCAGGCATGCATCTCCTCTCATTTACATTGGTGTCAGTCCCTTCACTGATATAAGTGAGCCTGATTTATGTCTTTCTGGGTACTTCTACATGTGTGTTTTAATGCACATTAAAGTGTCACTCAAAAATATGTGCTATTTCATTAATGCATTAAAATAGGCTAATGTGCATTTAGTGTCACTTAAAATGGTGCTCTTTAGTTAATGTGCATTAAGACAGGCTAATGTGCATTTTCCTAGTATGTCATGATGAAGGTACAAGATTTAATGTGCATTAACTGAAACACATTAATACATGTGTAGATGTCCTCTGAGATGCATCTTGCAGTGTTCTAACTTCACCAACTGCAGCTGAGTTAGGGCAAAATCTGGATTGCCTCCTTAGGCACCTCAAATGTAGGCATCAAAATGACTGAAATTAGACATCTGACCTCAGTAGGGTCTGCTTTCAGAATTCAGCATCACAGCTGGAGTGAGAAACAATGGGAGAAACAGTCACCACGTATAAAACGACGTTAACCATACCCCAGGAACCATATGTGCAGCAAAGGAAATAAGGAAGGAAAATAATGTAGTGGGGCACATATTTCATGCTGAGCAGGTAGTGATTAGTGAATGTAAGTGTCCTGGTAATGGGGTAAGCTGATAAGACACAGCCCCCTCAAGCTGGCCTGCAGATGGTGCAGACCTTCCATGCATCATGAGACCCATATTCTGCTGCATAAATAACATCTGTCTGGGGCTCCTTTAATTTACACTCAACTAGAGCTTTTTCACAACTTGAGTTTGTGGGAGAGCAAACAACAGTATTTGTTCTTACTGCATATGTCAGCTTTTTTCTTCAGTATTCCTGCACGCTGCTAGCTCTGAATGCCAGGCTGACTCTAATTCTCACTTCAGTCCTTGGTACTATGAGAACCAGAGGAGCATAACAGCACCTCTTGCTTCTAGGTAGCTAGCTCAATTTCCCAGTCACACTGTGCCATTTATGGCTTTTTGGCCACATGCTGTAAAATTTCATAGATTTCATAGACGTTCAGGCTGGAAGGGACCCCAGAGGATCATTAAGTCTAGCCCCCTGCGCAGGGGCAGGAAGTCAGCAGGGATCATAGGATCCCAGCAAGATAAACATCCGAAAGTGTCTTGAAAGCATTCAAAGTGGGTGCTTGAACCACCTCCGGCGGCAGTCTATTCCAAACCTTGGGGGCTCGGACAGTAAAGAAGTTCTTCCTTATGTCCAGCCAGAAACGGTCGCAGAGGAGTTTGTGACCATTCGATCTTGTCATCCCTTGGGGCGCTCTGGTGAATTGACAGGGCACTCAGATCTTATGGGTCAGATTTTGCTCTTAGTTACACAGATATAAATGTGAAGGGATTCCCCTTACTTCACTGGGCTTGTTCTGCATGTATGTTGGTTTAAATAGGAACAGAACTTGAACCTGCATCTGTGGGAGGTGGTTGATTTCCTAAGAACTACCAGTATCCCTGCTATTGGCTATCCCTCCCATCTGCTAGAGGAAGAACGGTAATGAATATAAAATGTGATCTCCTCAGTAGTCTTCTCTTACAAGACTGATTTTAGCTATACTTGGTGTAAATCCAGAATAACTTAGTTTAAATGACTGATTTCAGAAGCCAGCCCTGGACACATTAGTATTTTGCTTAGTCACTAGGAAACAAAAAAGTAAATGGGACCAAAAGAATTATTAAAATGCATTACGTGTTCAAAATGTCTTACATGTGCTTTAAAATTTGCAAAACACAGTTCACTCAGCCTTTTCTCATTTGATTAATGCCAGGACTGTCAAACATATGGTTAATAAAGCTGTTTCACTCAGCCCGTGGGGCTCCTACATGGGCCAGGAATTCAGGGGTGGGGCTGGCAAGGGCAGGGCCTGTACTGAATTCCAAACTACAGAGCCCCAGTGGGGACACGTGTCAGTGGTAGGATGAGCGACACCTGTGTTAACCTTCTGCTCTCTCTGCCACTGCCACTATCATGAAGTATAGAGCTAGCCTGGGAAGCTCCTTGCAGTCCAGACCCAGCATCTGAGGACCCATGATCTGGATTCTGCCCAGATCAAAGGTGAGTTTGACACTCCTGCCTTGTGCTGTTTTGACAATGTGACATTCACTAGACCCTCTCATCTATTGACCACTTTCCCATTTCTATTTGAAATGAAACCACGTAAATAGTAGGGCTGCAGGAAGCTTTGGTCCCTGCTTCAATTCAGCAGAGATTCAGCCTGATTCAGTGGCCAAATCTCTGAATCCAAATCAAATCAGAGGACCCTTTAGTCTCTCCAAATCGAATTGGAACCCTCCAAATTGATTCAGCGATTTGGACATAGAGACAGCTTTAAATGTTTTTTCTACATACTTCTAGGTAGCAGGCAGCTCGTGAATGCTATGATGGTGGGGCAGATGGAGCGTCCCACAGAAGTTGGGGGGGGGAGGGGAACTCCCTAGCCTGCTTGGCAGCAGACCTGGAAATGGACCAGAAGGACTTCCGGTCCACTTCCAGGTCTTCTGGGCAGCATGCTGGGCTCCCCCCCTGTTCCCCCCAGCTCAGTGATTGGTGCCTCCTGGGTCTGGGGGGGGCACCCAGCACTCCCCTGTGGCTGATCACTGAGCCAGGGGCACCCAGGGGAGCCCTTAGCACGCTCCCCAG